TCTTGTCTCCATTGGCAACACGCACGATTTGTGTCGATTGCAAGTGACGTCACAGGTATTAATTCCCAAACTAATATATTTGCTTGAAGTACCCCTGAGATTTTAAAACAAATAATTTCATAATTAAGTATCAATATTTGCATGTTCATGGTACTCTGGCATTGGTTAACGTCACATGACATGCAGGTAAACAAATAAAATGTTTCTTTTTTTTAATGTTTTATTTTGATTGATGTTATTTTAAAATTATTAATTTTAATTTAACATTTTGATGATTTAATTCATTATTAGCTTTCCATTAAACTCACAAACCCCCTGTAGTTCCTTTACGAACCCCAGTTGGGGAAACCTTGACGTTGATGTGTAATGCATTTCATGAATGGAGTATATTTTCTTTCTCTGTATATTTTGGGTCTTACAAGGGTAAATAAAGAACTGTTTTTCAATAAGTTTTGTATAGTATTTTCTAGGGCTGGGTTTTGACACAAATTTCATGATTCGATTCTCATTCATAAGCTTGCGATTCGATTCGATTCAATATTGATTATTTTGGATATATATCAGGTACAGTACATGCCAAATTTTCTCAAGGAAAAAAAATCTCTCGACTAATGCTGTAAAATATACATGAGAGTCAGTTGGTACTACATTACTATAATGTTGAAGGTTAAAATTGATTGATTTGTTAAAATTACACTTAATGAAGTTTTTAAAATAATAAAGTTACAATTACATAAAAATATTTCTACTTCAATTCGTCTTTTTGGTTCCACTTTATATTAAGTGGCCTTAACTACTATGTACTTACATCAAAAAATAAGTACAATGTACTCATTGTGTTCATGACTAATGAGTTTATGGTCACAAATGTTTTTCTGAGGTAAATGTTACGTGACATTGTTTACAAGACGTTATATTGGCATCTTTGCGCAGCTAAAACACTGATTGAGTGATTACATGAGACAGGATATGGATTGTAAAGTTGTACTCTTTCTTTTAACTTACCTTCGGATGTTTAGTCATGTTTATTTTGTGCTATAACTAGTATTAAAGCGGAGGAGATGATCAGTTAACTGCGGCGCTACAGCCATCTGTCACTCCACATTAAACAGCGCCAAAACGGCATTTATTGTTTGAATACTGCAATACAATGGACAGAATTTGAAGTCTGAGACTTTTTCATATTAAAAGGACCAAAGCACAATGCTTATTGTGATTTATTGCATGGGAGGTGCGCTTCAATGTTCTGTCTATTAACTGAAAACAGGCTAGACTAATTGATTCTTGAGATTTAAGAATCGATATCGTTCCGTAAAAATTAGAATCGATTAATATCAAGATATTGATATTTTTTACCCAGCCCTAGTATTTTCTTTACTTCAAAAACTATGTGTAAAAAGTGTAATATTTTATGTAAGGTGAAGAGGGCAAACATTTTGCGTTTTACGTCAGCATTGCCGTCTAATCAGCCAATATTGTCTTAAATAGCCTGCATAGCACTTCATCTTTTATAACATGGGATTTTGACCAAATATATTCTGTCTTGATTTTTGTAAAATGTTGCAAACAAGATGTTAAAAAAACTTTTTTTTTTTTTTGTAAAAAATTAGTTTTGAACGTAATGTAAATATTTAAAAAATATACCTTAAAATAACTACAAACGAGCATGTAAAGCAAATATCTTTACAAGAAATTCTGTGTGGCGCATGCCCCAGATCCACGCAGTGTTCTCACCTTTTTCCTCCCTTACCTGTTTGCATCTCTGAATTTGGAATCAGTAACTGATTACAATTTGTAAGTAATCTACCCAGCTCTGTGCCATGCATGCATCTTTCGCTACTGCGTGTTTAATGCTCAACTGTCCGTCTCCCAGGGGTCATCTGGGCCTGTGGCTGGATGCCGACCTTTACCACGGCACCACATCCAAATGCTCCACCTTCAACAACCTGCCACTATCCTCCAAACAGGACTTCACCATCCAAAACCTGGAGGTGTGGGCCTTCGAATGAGCGCATGCTAACGTACCCACGCCACGCTCACGACATGATTACTTGATGTCTACTTGACGCTTTATCCCGAACTGTACAAGGCTGTTCGTGTGAATCCGGCCAGCATGGTTTTACTTGGTTTCTCCTGGTCTGAGCACGGAGAGAGAATTTCGTGGCAGCGATGCCGCCCACAGCTATCCCAGCATGCAATATGTTCTCCTGCTGAAATATAACCAATATATTAACACATATACGTGTATGTGAATGACGAGGACTGTGTACGATATTCGGGGAGCGTTCAAAGCCGAAGACGTATTCGGTGGCCAAATCTGTCGCTTTGAGGCCAGTCTCTCAAATCGTAATTTTTGTTTACATCGTGGCGATTTGATGCGTTTAGTTGGTATATTTTCACATTCGTATTTTCACAATGCCAATATGTCCACAAATTGATTTTGTTGACCAAAGCATCTTATTTGCCTTGTTCTCTAGTTTTTATATTTCGTTTTTTTCTTTTTCTATTTGAGTGTTTTTATATATATATATTGGAGGTGACATATAGTCGTATTCCTACGTGACGATTGTTTTGCTGTTTTGTGATATTTTAGGGACCTTTTCTAGTTCGTGTGGAAGGGAAGCACTTGAAATTATGCCAGTATTACTCGTGAACACTATGGTAATCGCACGCCTGATTTCATTAACCAAGTCACATCACTTTCTAGCAAATCAGGTTCACCACTTCACTGTGGGTTTGTGTATGCAATCACTGACCGATGTCACTTCCTGTTATGCGGTAGCACGATTATTACGTGATTTAAGTGTGAACAGATGCACGGTGCAAAGTCCGTTCTTGCGGTTGAAGGCACCCCTCTTTGGAAACGTCCACTCATTTCACTACTAGACAGCATCTGTGGGCATTAACTAACCGCATTCATGGTCCATTAGTGAAAAAAAAAAGTTTACAAGTGTTTCAAAGTGTCTCTGATTTCAAACACTGTCCGGTTGTGTATGGTAACCAGTGAATGTCATATTTATTGTGTATTTCTGTGTTTGAAAGTGAACCAAATAAATGCAATAAATGAAGAGGTCAATGACTCAAGTTTCATTAATTGAATATATATTTAATGTAAGTATTTGTAAAATTTCAATACTTAACACTTTACATTAAGAACTCATAAAAGCAATTATGAACCTTTGTTAGAAATACAATTGTGTATTGTTTATTTGATTGTAAAGTTGTAGTTCCTGAAATGTTATATCATTGCATAATACTGTATATAGTTTCACATACAGTTTTATTAAATTGTATGTCCCGTTTACAGTAAATAGTGTATATAGTATATACAGTGCAATATTATGTGGATATTTTATTCCAACCATATACATTCATTTTAAACAGATTTTGTCCCTGAGATGCTGTTGAATCACAGTTTTACAATGTAAAGGAAGTAAAGTCTAAAAATATAAGTTATGAATCACACAGACATCAAAATATTCATTTATTTTTCATAATTTTTATATGTAATATATATTTCCTTATAAAATATATTTATAAAAAGTTTTTCATTTTATTTTAATTTTTTTCTGAATTTTTAAATTCAGATTGATTGATTTTCAGACTCTGTATTAATGCATTAAGTAGCTACGTGGCTTGGCAACAGTAAACAGCCTATACATAGATTTGGGGTTATTAATTTTATCAACTGTATTTAAAAAATTGGTGTCTTAATGTCTTGTAACTCTTTTGGGGTCACTCTTGTACGAAGTTGCCGTGCATCTGATGTCCGCTTACAACAGGATAATCTTGGTGGGCGGGGTAAACCTGCTCAGGGGTCAGAGGTGAAAGTTCATAGGTGCTCCTCATGTAGTTCATGCCGCCCTGCTGGAGGAGGAGCAGCAGCTGACGGGCAAACAGCGGCTCCACCTTTAGGACAAGAGAAGTTTAGCCACGTTTAGTCGTGTGGAGGCAACTATTGCGTCAGAGTGGATGGAGAGGTCAAAGGTCATTACCTGGACCATCAGGGGTCTCTTGTCTGCAGAGGGGTCACAGCACTCAAAAAACAGCTGCACGTGGAAATGCGGAGGAGGACGAGCATGCAGGAAATAACCCTGGAGCTCTGCAGGAATTAATGCATTAAAACTTAAAGGGATAGTTCACCCAAAAGTGAAGATTCTGTCATTGTTTACTCACCATCATGTCGTTCCAAACCCATAAGACTTTTGTTCGTCATTGGAACACAAATGAAGATATTTTTAATTAAATCTTAGAGATTTCTGTCCCTCCATTTACAGTTTATGCAATTACCACCAGTGTTGCCGTGTCCACGGTTATACCGAAGAATTTGGCTACTTTTACACTGTTGCTGCAGGTTGTTTTTTAGTCTGCAGGTTAAAGCGATACCCCCTCCAGCCCCTGAAATGCTATTTTGGTGGGGGACCCCAGACAGAGCAGAAAACCACGGGGGGGGGGATGGGCTAGTTTTGAATGGCAATTGTGCTGATTTTAATTCACAGACCTGGCAACCCTGACTACCACTTTGATGTTTAAAAAAGTTCATAAAGAGATTCGCAAAACTAATCCATATGAATTGAGCGGTTTAGTCCAAATTTTCCAAAGAGACTTGATAGTTTTACATGATTCATTTAATTTAATTTAGGTTTTTATTCACATATTTACATTGATCAGCAAACATAAACAGAAGCTCAACCATACTTGAAGTGCGAGAACAAAACCCACTGGTTCTTACAGAAGCTCAAACGTGCCGTGTAACATGAGAATGAGCCTCACTAGTTCTTACGGAAGCTCAAACCATGCCACTTAAAGGGGTCATGTGATGCGATTTCAGTTTTTCCTTTCTCTTTGGAGTGTTACAAGCTCTTGGTGCACAAAGTTCTTTATAGCAGCATCATATGACCCCTTTAACACGAGAATAGACCTCACTAGTTCTTACGGAAGCTGAAACGTGCTGCATAACACAAGACTAAACCTCAACGGTTCTTGCGGAAGCTGAAATGTGCCACATAACACGATAATGAACCTCACTGGTTCTTACGGAAGCTCAAACGTTCCGCGTAACACACAACAATGAACCTCATTTGTTCTTACAGAAGCTCAAACATGTTGCGTGAACCTCATTGCCTCTTATGGAAGCTCAAATGTGCCATGTAACACAAGAATAAACCTCATTGGTTCTTACAGAAGCTCAAACATGGTGCGTAACACACAAGAATGAACCTCATTGGTTCTTACGGAAGCTCAGACGCAGTGCGTAACACACAAGAATGAACCTCATTGGTTCTTACGGAAGCTCAGACGCAGTGCATAACACACAAGAATGAACCTCATTCGTTCTTACGGAAGCTCCAACATGGTGCGAAACATGAAAATGAACTTCATTGGTTCTTACAGAAGCTTAAACATTGTGCGTAACATGAAAATGAACCTCATTGGTTCTTACGGAAGCTCAAATTTGGTGCGTAACATGAAAATGAACCTCACTGGTTCTTACGGAAGCTCAAACGTGGTGCGTAACAGGAGAATGAACCTCATTGGTTCTTACAGAAGCTCAAACGTGGTGCGTAACATGAGAACAAACCTCATTGGTTCTTAACGAAGCTCAAACATGGTGCGTAACAGGAGAATTAACCTCATTGGTTGTTACGGAAACTCAAACGTGTTGCGTAACACAAAAACAAACCTCATTGGTTCTTACGGAAGCTCAAACGTGGTGCGTAACACAGGAGAATGAACCTCATTGGCTCTTATGGAAGCTCAAATGTGCCGTGTAACAAGAATAAACCTCATTGGTTCTTACAGAAGCTCAAACATGGCGCGTAACACACAAGAATTAACCTCATTGGTTCTTATGGAAGCTCAAACGTGGTGCGTAACATGAAAATGAACCTCATTGGTTCTTACAGAAGCTCAAACATGCCGCGTAACACTCAAGAATGAACCTCATTGGTCCTTACGGGAGCTCAAACGTTGTGCATAACAAAAATAACCTCATTGGTTCTTACGGAAGCTCAAACGTGGTGCGTAACATGAAAATTAACCTCATTAATTCTTACGGAAGCTCAAACGTGGTGCGTAACAGGAGAATAAATCTCATTGGTTCTTATGGAAGCTCAAATGTGGTGCGGAACATGAAAATGAACCTCATTGGTTCTTACAGGAGCTCAAACGTGGTGCGTAACAGGAGAATAAATCTCATTGGTTCTTATGGAAGCTCAAATGTGGTGCGGAACATGAAAATGAACCTCATTGGTTCTTACAGGAGCTCAAACGTGGTGCGTAACAGGAGAATAAATCTCATTGGTTCTTATGGAAGCTCAAATGTGGTGCGTAACATGAAAATGAACCTCACTGGTTCTTACAGAAGTTCAAACATGCCACGTAACATGAGAACAAACCTCATTGGTTCTTACGGAAGCTCAAACGTGGTGTGTAACAGGACAATGAACCTCATTGGTTCTTACAGGAGCTCAAACGTGGTGCGTAACAGGAGAACAAACCTCACTGGTTCTTAACGAAGCTCAAACGCGGTGCGTAACAGGAGAATGAACCTCATTGGTTGTTACGGAAACTCAAACGTGTTGCGTAACACACAAAAGCAAACCTCATTGGTTTTTACGGAAGCTCAAACGTGGTGCGTAACAAAATGAAAATGAACCTCATTGGTTCTTACGGAAGCTCAGATGTGGTGGGTAACACACAAGAAAAATACCTCATTGGTTCTTACGGAAGCTAAAATGTGCCGCGTAACAGGAGAATGAACCTCATTGGTTCTTACAGAAGCTCAAACGTGGTGCATAACACAGGAGAATGAACCTTATTGGTTGTTACGGAAGCTCAAACGTGTTGCGTAACACACAAGAACAAACCTCATTGGTTCTTACGGAAGCTCAAACATGGTGCGTAACACTGGAGAATGAACCTTATTGGTTGTTACGGAAGCTCAAACGTGGTGCGTAACACGAGAATAAACCTCACTGGATCTTACGCAAGATCAAACGTGTTGCGTAACACACAAGAACAAACCTCATTGGTTCTTACGGAAGCTCAAACATGGTGTGTAACACTGGAGAAGGAACCTTATTGGTTGTTACGGAAGCTCAAACGTGGTGCGTAACACGAGAATAATCCTCATTGGTTCTCACACGTCAAGCAAGCATGCTTGAGCTTCCCTTTGCTATAGCGGGTGTGTGCGTTGATCAATGTTTACATGTGAATAAAGTTTAACGATCTCTTTATTAACTTTTTGAAGCATCAAAGTGGTAATCAGGGTTGCCAGGTCTGCAAAACAAAATCAGCCTAACTGCTATTCAAAACTAGCCCAATCATATTTTTTCCGTGATTTCCCGCTCCATCGGGGGACCCCTCCATGGAAATAGCATTCCGGTGGGTGGCTGTTGGGACAGGAGATTGCTTTAACCTGCAGACTAAAAAACAACCCATGGCAACAGTGTAAAAGTAGCCCAGTAAAACTATGGACTTGGCAACACTGGTGGTAGTTATGTAGACCAGTGGTTCTCAAACGTGTCCTGGAGGACCCCTAGCCCTGCACATTTTGAATGTCTCCCTTATCTAACACACCTGATTCAACTCATCAGCTCATTAGTAGAGACGGCAAGACATGAATTGGTGTGTCTGATAAGGGACATACAAAATGTGCAGGGCTAGGGGTCCTCCAGGACAGGTTTGAGAACCCCTGATGTAGACTGTCAGTGGAGGAACAGAAATCTCTAAGGGTGTATTCACACTTGTCTTGTTTGTTTGGTTCGATTTAATTGAACTCAAGCTCGTCTCCAACCCCCCCCACCCCGGTGCGGATCTTTTGGGCAGGTGTGAATACAGCAATCGGACTCGGGTGCAGACCAAACAACTGTACCGAGACCCAGCTGAAGAGGTGGTCTCGGCCCGGTTCCAAATTAACTCTGTTATAGTTGAATGGATGAACCAATGAATGGATGTACTTAGCACATGTGTGGTTTTGTTTACAATTTCTGGTTCACTTGCAAATAAGGCAGTGTGAAAGCGAACCACACCAAACAAAAAAAATCAACATTGTATTTGGTCC